TCAGCCATGTTTTTTTCTATCTTATGACCATCACCACCACACACGGTTCATTGTGTCTCTCTCAGCCATCTTAATGGGAAACAATTACCTACTCTTGCTCTAAATGCTCATTTGCATCTATGGCGTTTACAAGTTAAATGGATGCCTTTGCTCAAGTTTTGAATCATCTGACAGCAATCCTTGCACATCTCAGAGTGGCAGCCATGTTAGCCTCTTGCAACATAAGCAAATGTGATGGTGAAGGTGACATAGCTTGACTCTGTGTTGCCATTTCCATTCCTTTACCTGCCATGATCATATCATCTTGCAGAATGATTCTCTCCTGCCACCATATTCTAATAAGACCAGCACTACTGAACAGTCTGGTTGCACCCAGAGCCATTTTCATTTCCAGCAAAAACTCTTCAGAAGCTGCACCATCCAAGTCTGACATTTAAAATACCAAGATTCTGATTTGCTACTACTGAAATGTCATCTTCTGAGATGCACCAACCCTGAGGCAGTATTGCTAGAAATATAATTAAAACACTAAGAGAATGGAATATTCAATGGCTCAGAGGATGGCTAATGAGAAAGGAGGTTTTAATCGCTAGGTCACCAGTTCAAATCCAGGCCAAATGAATCATCTCAAGTCAGTGGGATATCCACTAATAATCAGCACTTAGTAATGTGTCTAATGCTAGAGGCCTGTATTTGAAAATGTCAGCAGAGGTATTTAATCAGAAAGCATGTTGAGTAAGTATTATTTACAAAAGATATATTATGATTCTTAAATGGTTCGTATAAAATATGGTATCTATGTTACTTTGGTGATATATAATTAGACTGTTTACTTCTATTTAAAGGGTTTTGTAGCCACAATCCAGATCATAATTATAGTATTTCTTCTCATGCCAAACATCAAGAAACCCACAGTTAGGATTAAGAGAAAGACAGAGGGAGAGATTAATATTAAACTTCATTGCACTTGTTAAGGACATTTCATTTTCCTGAGATGTAATGAAGGTCAATATCCCATCCCCCACCCCCACCTCCCCAAAAAAAACCCTATAAAATGTACTGAGAAGATGAATCTATGTATTTGTGAAGTGGGGTGTCTATGGGCAACCAACCAAGGTGTCTAAATGTGGAGGAGCGCTGGGCAGAAGATGGTATGTGAACCACAGAGACCCCCAGCCTTGAGAAAAAATGGAATGTTGAAGCAAGTGTGTGTGTGAAAGGCTTACACTTGAACAACACCCCTGTACCATTCAGATAGATCTCTAAGGTCAGAGGCACTAGCATTGGGCCCACAATGGAAGGGTGAATTGTGCTGGGACCTGCCAGGTAAGACACCTCTGGAGATGCCATTGATCCATACTAAGATGCCCTGGGCTACAATGGGATGCATCCCCCATGTCAAAAGTTCTCACTCACTGAATCTCTTGAACTGCTGGGTGGATAAATTATGGGACACAATGCTGACCTTTCAAGGGCTTTCCTTCCTGTCCCCCTCTCCCTCACCAGTTGCTTTGGGGGCAAAGGAAGCTTTTAGTTCAAAGGGTGAAGAAAATAAAAGCCAAACTAGTCCAGAGAGGCCAACCAGATGCTTCCAGGAAATCTACCAGAAAGGCAGTTGCCCCTGCTGGTATTCAGTAGCACATTGTTGGTTTCTGTTTATGCCACTGTGCAGTGCTTCGAGTCACAAGACTCTGTTTTGCATTCCAGAGATTCCAGGCTGTTGGAAGTCTCACGGAAGACAGGAGACGGATGTGATGTTACTGGTTTCCTGTTCCTTTGTTTTCCAGCTGCTCTCTGCTTTCACAGAGAGAGCATGTATATTTCTTTTCTGTCTGCTTAGTTAGAAATAAACTCTTTGCAATGTGGCTCAAACTTCTCGTCCTTGCCTGCGTGCTGTATACTCTGTGTAATGGGGAAACGTGCCTGGAGCCTCATCAAAGGCTTAGGTTGTTAATCATCGTCGGAGGCAATTCCGAAGGACTCGACCAGAGGAGTCGCTCGGTTGAACGCAGGTTCCGACACACATGGCCTTTGAACATGGAAGTTCTCTGCATCTGTTATGACTAAAAGTCATTGTCAGATGACTGAATCAGCCTGTATTGAGATGCCAGCTGTAGAATGAGCTGCTCATGTGAACATTCATCAACATTTTAACTGCTGGGGGGGGAATAAAAATGTCGACATCCTGTTGGCAAACAGGTCAGGTTCTGTGAGCAAAGCGAAAGGTTAGCTGGGCTGGGGAAAACACAGGACAGGATGAGCTACGTAGGCAAAGTTATAGAGCTGAGCAGAGATGGGATCCAAAGCAGGGCTACACTAAGTAAGCTGCCAGTTTCTGACCTGGACATGAGCTTTCAAGAGCACCTCCAAGCACAACCAACGCACACCAAATTGGAGGGGAGATCCATGAGAACTGGGGTGTTTGCTCTCTGCAATCATTACATCCACAACCACATGTTTTGAAGCATTCACAATCACAATAAACACCAAGGCTGTGAGGCGTAAATCACTCATCTCTCTCTTGCAATCCATGTAAACATTTGGTTGTCAAAGAGAAAGTGGAAAGGGGGGCAGTGGTGGTGCAAATTATCATTCCGGCCAATGTATGCTTTTTGTTTTTGTTTTTGTATGCTTTTTGTTTTTGTATGCTTTTTGTTTAACCTGATCTCGTTTTTTGACAGAATTACAAGCCTGGTAGATGAAGGGAACGCAGTGGATGTAGCCTACCTTGATTTCAGCAAGGCATTTGACAAGGTGCCCCATGATATTCTTGTAAAGAAGCTGGTAAAATGCGGTCTTGACTATGCTACCACTCAGTGGATTTGTAACTGGCTGACTGACCGAACCCAAAGGGTGCGACAGTGGAATTTGCTGCCAAGGAGTGTGGTGGAGTCTCCTTCTTTGGAGGTCTTTAAGCAGAGGCTTGACAACCATATGTCAGGAGTGCTCTGATGGTGTTTCCTGCTTGGCAGGGGGTTGGACTCGATGGCCCTTGTGGTCTCTTCCAACTCTATGATTCTATGATTCTATGTTTTAAATCACATTACCAAACCATTGAAGGGAGAATTGCTTTAAACTTCACGTGTGAGAACACCACCAGAGGTGTAGATCTATTGCATGGGGAGAGGGGAAATGGCAAGGGCTGAAAGCTGAGCTTGATGAACAACTGTTGCCATACCACAGTCTGCGGGAGTCATTTGTTCCCAGTGTTGTCAAAACTGAGCCTCTTGATAGCTTTGAAACCCTTTCTTTTTCTTTTTAAGGACGGGAGAGGACAACATCTATGGTTAAGCAAGCACTTCATTACCTCCCTATTGTTGGCCATAAATTACTGTTTACCTGTCAGCTGACATCAGAACACCCACCAGGTGCACTTTGAAGTTAACCTATTGGATATCAAGAGTTGTTTAAAGAGCTGTTGAAGAGCTGCTTGATCTTCAGACTGAGCCCTTTGAAGTTGTGAGCTAATGGCAGATTATTTTTATTCCAAGTGATCAAGCAATTAATGAGATAAAATAGTGGGAAGACAGACTTAATAGAATTATTGTGGCTCAATCACAGGCTAAACCTTCCATAAAGCACTTGGAAAAGAAGGCGAAAGCAAGCAAGAAATTGAGCCGCATATGGAAGGCAGGAAAGAAAATAAAGAGGAAGAAATAAGCTGTAGACTTCTTAAATAAATAAATAAGCTCTTTCTAAATCTTCTTTGGCAGAACTAAAGATATGTAATGCCTGTCTTTCACATTCCACAGCTAGTAAAGAAAACAGAGTTTATATACACAGAGAGAGAGAGAGAGAGAGAGAGAGGCAGAAAGAACCATTTTCTATGTCATCCGTCCATGCTGTAGTCACACATGACAGTGGTTTCACATGTCATAGCAAAGTGGACACACATAAAACAAGACAAGAGTTATGCCTGAGCATATGCCTGAGATATTTTTGTTCATCTAGCCCAGTATTGTCCTCTACTCTGGCTGGCAGAGCTCTTAGGGTCACAAACAGTCTTCCATGCCACCTGCTGTCTTATGCTGTGTAATGGTGTTGTCCTTGGTGTGAGTGGACCATCTCAGCTGGACAGTGGAATATAAATATATGGCCCTCCATATATTGTTCAACTCCAGCTCCCATCAACCAGCAACACCTGAAGGGTCAAAGGTTAACCACACTCCTTGGCACAAGGTGACCAGAGCTCAAACCTTTGCTTACTCTTGCAGTTCTCTTGGTAGCAAGCAGCAGAGCTGTCAGCCTCACCTGCCTCATAGTCATAGTGACAATGAAATGGGAGTTAGCCCCAGATATAGTACCACTTGCTTGTGGGGAAGAGACGAACAAAGAAGAGACGTACAAATGTTGAATAAATAGATTCCCTGACACGTCTTATGCATTCTACAGTCTCTATGAAACATGTTCTGCATTATAACGGAAAGCAGTGATAGTCTTTCCAGTTGTTACAATATCTGTTCTTTGGGGATTCTGTAAAAACACTTCAGGTTTAAAAGGAAATCAAGCTTTTGGCGAAGGTCTGTCTTCAGTTGTATCCATCTCTTTGCCAAGAGAATCATCAAAGCGACACTTAGTAGAAGGAGAAATGGAGACAGCTCAAATATTTCTTGAGCAAACAAATGTCAAAAATGTAAAGACAACAGCCCTTGAAAGCGACTGGCAATCTTGCTTGATATCCTAGTGTGCTCCACTCTTAGCTTCCATAAATCACAACGAAATGGCAGAGGATTTCAGCCCTGTGTCACTTAAGCTGTGATATCCCAGTGACAAAAAACGTGTTAAAGCCTGGCTGCTTCCACTTCTTTCCAAAGTACTTTTTTCTGCCGTGGGCTAGAAATGGCATGAGGAACTGCGAGAGAGCGATTATAAGGAACAAGGGAAATCAGACTGATGTGTCAATAGTCCTTCACAGAGAGGAGGGAATCTGTGGACAGCAGCACCTTCTGAAAACAACTGTGAGTGGCAATGACCATTTTTTATTCATTTTTTTTTTATTTAGTACATTATAATTTTTGTTTGTATCTGAAAATTCCGACAGTCTTAGCAAAGCAAAATAGTGCCCGTAAAATGAAGTGCCATCTTTTCTAGATATTGAATATGCAAAATAAGCGACAGATGTTCTAGAAGGGTCTGTTGCTCCTACCAAGAGGCAGTTAGGGCAGCCAAGATGTCTTACTTCACAGCTTCTGCTGCATCCTCTAGTAATTGTCTTGCAGAGCTCTTCCAAGTTGTCTGGAATCTGGTCTCACCTACCCATGGGCACAGGTCTCTGCAAGCTATGGAGCCCTGCTGAGACTGTTTGGCCTATCATTTTTAGGACATCGTTGCTCGACTCTACAGCAATTTAGATGCCACTGTTTCAGTTACCGCAAGGGCAGACTTTGGTTTTTAAAAATTGCAGCAGCATCCTGTGCAAGGCCAACATTTGGTACCCATCTCCAACTCTTGCCTTTCATTCTGCACATTCACTGTGTCATAGTTGTGACACCCTGCAGCAACCCCCTCAGCTCAGGGGAAACTGGTCGGGCTGCCCTAAATCTGCCTCTGCTTACAGTCTCAGCTGAGGTGTCCAGTGCTCCCTCTTTTCTGACTTTGTGGGATCAGTTTTGGTTACGCTATGGACAGGTTGCTTGCAAAGATGCATCTGACTATGTGCCTCTCAATTTCTGCTCGTCAAATTATTGACAGCATGTTACTCTGCTGCTGAGGGCGCTGTAGTGGTTGCTGATTTGCTACCAAGCCAGGTTCAAAGCCCTAAACAACTTGGTGCCAAAGTACCTCATTATGTTCCATCTCAATTACTAAAATCTTCTGATGGGATACTTCTGGTGGTTTGCCTCACCCCTGAGGTTCACTGGGGACTGAGCTGTTGTCTGCTTGTTTATTTTTCTGATAATTTCATTGTTTTAGTTTTTGAGGGTTGTTGTTTTTAACAATTATGTGGTGCATCTTTCTTATGAAATAAATAAAATACTATTTTGTCAGATTCCAGCTTTCACATTCATGATGTTGTGGAAACCGAGCAGTAATTAATTTTAAAGACGGTTTTAAAAAATTGGGTTGGGCTGTGCAAGCAACTGGAGAAATCATGGAAGGAGAAATGAAGGCGCAAATATTAGAGCAAATCATATAAGAATTGGTCAGTGCAGACATGACTCAGATATTTAGTGCTGGAAAAGTCAAACAGCATCATCTTTTTTATCCCTTTTCAGGGCTGATGACATTTAAAAAATATCTGCAGTGCTCAGCTCCGATATTCTGTACAAATACATTTGGTGTCAGATTGGTAATTTATGGATGCAATTACCATAACACTATAAACAACTAGGGTGAAGTGTGCAGGGTGTAAAATATGGGTGCATTTCAGAAAGAAAAGGCTGAATAAATTTCAGAGGTGTTCCTGAAAGCTTCAAATTGCAAACCAAGACTATAAAATAAGGCTTTTCACTGATTTGAAAGAAAAAATGATTAATTTCAGCCTGATGACCTTGTTCCTTTAACACAACGGAAGCTTAATTCATCTCATTTAGAGTGCTTCTAACGTGTCTCGCAATGTCACTGAGCAAGTAGTATCAAGTATTGGTTGTTTTGTAGGTGTTTAATCTGTCTTAATGAATACAAATACAATAAAGCGCAACAGATCTAGGCAGCCTGGTCCTGATATCAAGCAACGTAAATCTTATCCTTGAGCAATACAAATGAGAAATGCGTACGACGAGAATCTTAGGCAGAGAATGATAACTGTTGCATTTATCCTCATCGCTGCCCTTTCGTTCCTGTAAGAGAGCACTTTGCAGCACACAGCACCATTAGCCGATAACTAATTGGCGACAGAAGGAAAAACAGGCAAAATGAATGTGAGATCTGGGCACTGTAGAGAAATGTCACCGTCGTTGCTGACTTATCCCAAGATTGCAAAGGTAAACTCAATCCTGCCAGGCTACAGACAGGCCAGACCTTTAAATTGAAAACTGCCGATTCCACTCCTCGCCCTCCCATGCTGCTACTGCCTGCTCCATCTTCCACTCGCTGTGGAGCTACACAGTCCAGCTCTGCCCATTGGCAGGTGAACAGAGAAGATAAAACAATCATAACTATAGCAACACCAGGGCTGATTGTCTGTGTGTGCACTCAAGAGTCCACAGATTGTTTGGGAGATGGTCACCTTCTTGACATATTGGGGAGAGACTCCCGACAGAGGCGTCCGGTTGTTCTCATTGGGATCAACTAGTAACCTCACACAAATTTGGTCTCGATGGACTCAGATAATAAAACTAAGTACCACTGAGCTGAATGGCACTAAGTTGCACCCAGAGCATTGATCCCAGGCTGCACAATTTGTCTGGTGGTCAGAGCAGGCTTGGTCCTCCGCTTAGTCAGATCGCTTTTCTTAGCTCAAAAGAATGTTATGGAAGTCTGATGGCCTCTTCTCTTTTAAAACCATGTTCCATAGATTGTTATGTACTATTTCTGAATAAGAAGGTGGACATTTTCACTTCAGTTTCTTACTATGCAAGCGTTACGTTTGCCTAAAGACTGGTGCCGTTTGTGTCACGGAAACCACTTCACATGTTACATTTTCTATTCTGAGATGAGTGTCGGTGTTTTTGCAAGGAATCACACATCATCATAATCATCACACTACTACTTATTTTCTGGCACAGAGATTGAGTCGGAAATGCATCAAATAAAATGTGGCAGGGGATTTGTGTGGCATCTTCTCTTGACTCAGGATGGCAGACTGAACATTTCAAAACTGCATGATTTTAACCACTGAATTCAAAACTGCGCTTGGTTTCCTCTCTCTCTCTCTCTCCCCCTCTCTCTCTTAGCATTCCCAAGGGATGCCAGGTATGAGGCTGTTATCTGACCATATTTATCTGCCACCTGATAACCTAAGTTATCTGGGCAGTTCTCCAATAAACCCATCTACAATTGCTGATGCCACCAACCATTTGATCTTTTGCTTCTCATCCAAAATGTCAGCTACTGCCTTCTCTTTACCTTTCCTTGGTTAAGCGTACATTCTTACAAGATGCCATTTCTCGGTGCCTGGGCTTTGTCTACTGAAATTAATACAGAATAAATAAATAAATAATCCATATCCATTAAATAGGTGCATTCCGGACATAGAGAAAGGTGCCCAGGGCTTGCCAACCATCCTGTTTCTCTTTCATATGTCACTGTGTCAGAACCTGAATGGGTTCTACATGTCGTGGGGAAGGAGAGAACACCTGACATCTCTCTGCTTGGACTTCAAGGCCAGCTTTCTCAAACTCAAAGCTAAAATGTCTTGGTAGAAGTCAGTGGTGTGTCTTATCCTCTTAACTTAAGAGGAGAGGACTAGGGGGGAGATGGAGGCAGTAGATCCCAACATAACCTTCCCATGTTGCTGGGCATGAAATTAAAAGTCATGCCAATAAAGATATGTCATAAAGATATTTAAGGTGTCAGGCTTTGTAATTTGCCAGGCCTTTTAGAACTACGTTTTAGTCCTTGGAACATAATGGTTTTGCTGACTTTTATGTGAGAAATTGAATTGATTTTAATGTTTTAACTTTTGTATTGACTATTTGAACTCCGTGAACTGCCCAGAGGATCTTGTTGATTGGGTGGTCAATAAATGTCCCAGTCAGTCCGTCAATCATCCAACCAACCATTTAACCTTCATTGCCAAGCTGCATTTTCTTTCAAAGAATGGAAGATCACCCTGATATGAACAAAGTAATATACACAGCCTTTCCTTTACTCAGTTTCTGTATACATTTGAGTTCACATGCTTCCCCCCTGCCCAACAACTCCAGAAAAAAGTTTCCCTTTTTTTATAGGAAAAAAAGCCCTTACAAACAACAACAGTGCTTGAATTTCTGTGCTACCAAAACCACACAGATAGAGAAGAGAAATCAAGTAGGAATGTAAATTGTTCATATCTGCAGACCTTTGGACTGGAAGCAATGAATGGACCTGATTTCCTCGCAATTTGTTTGAGGGTAACACACAAACACAAATGCAGGAGGAGAAAGAAAGCAATCCCATGAATAAATTATTGCTTGCGAGATATTTGCTAATCCCTTGCCAGTACCTGCCCTGAATTTTAAAGTTAAGCACATGTGATTTCAGATTTAAGAAATCCTTCTTCCCTTTCTCTGATATATACATACACACACACTGCTTGCTCATGGCAGCTTGCTCTTCTCCCCGTTCTCAGAAACCTCTTACAAACCGGGCAAGCTGCCAGAGACAGAGTGCTGAGCATTCAGGGAGAGTGAGTGGCAACATTTATGTAATTGGAATCCATTTAGAGCGCAGTACTGTGCCACTTTCTTCTTCAGGTTACATGAAAATCCAAGAAATGTGTTACACAAGATTTGAGTCAAAGCAAGAAGCACCCAGTGTGGCTCGCTCACATCTCGGACTTTCAAATTCTTAAATTTGCCCTTTACTGAAAAAAGTCAATGATTTCCCCAAGAAAGTTTGATTAGTTTCTTTTACTTTCTGTAATGAAGTGCCATCCTTTTTACACTTGAAAGGATCTTTGTAATAATGCAACATTGATCTTTTGAATACAGATGAGCTAACCTAGATAATAGGATTTGGTACCCAAAAGATGGGACTTGAGAATATCTGTAAGGTTCCAGTGCCATCAAGAGGATTTGTAAGACAAAGCAGCTATTCGTCACTGAGCAAAAAGCCCTTCTCACACATATACCCCTCCGCCATTATAGTTTAGGTGAGATTTTCAGCTCAAGGAACAATTGGTAGAATACAATATAAAATATAAGAGAGAAGAAGCTGTTAGTATTCATATGAATGACTGTGGGGTGTGTCTAATTTATGAAATCAGAAGAACATGCTGGTGGCATTTCAAACATTTTTCTACAATTTTTTTTCTAGCCCCGTGCCATGGCATGATGCCTAAAATTGTAACATGTAATCCTGGAGGGAGGGAGTATTTGAAGAAACACAGGAGTAGAGCAATGGATATTTTCAATTTGTTGTGATGAGGTTCTACTTTCTATATTCCTTCATTGTTTGTTAGGTCCATGTAACAAGCAAATCTGATTTAAAAAGGAAATGGGAACGGAAACTTTTCCAGCCTTAGGACCACATTGCTTTTCACCTTCCTGGTGAAAATTCAACACTCACCTCCTGCAAAGCTGTTCTTTTCAGTGCATTTAAGCAAACGGCAGCTGGGGAGGCAATTCCTGCCCACCCCAAAATATTTTTAAATTAGATTTCAATATAGCCTAATACAGATTCTACCAACATAACTTGTATAAACAATGAGTAAGGGAAGTATGCATGTTTTACAGCATCAAGAGCTGGAGCAGAGGGAAAGGGATAAAGCCCCTTTGCCACACCATGGACACAATCTGGATCAGATGTTTATTTTTGTTTCAAAGGGAGGGGTATCATCCCAAACATAGGATTCAGAGACACGTTGAACATCACATCTCATGTGACCTCAATTCCAGAGCAGGGCAGGAGTCAACTAATGGCCTGCAATAACAGAGCACAAAGTTCTGGTGTGGGCCTGCCCCTTAATAAATTGTTTGGGAAACTGGTGCTCTAAAGATCACCGATTCCTATTTCCTGACACTCACTTGCTAGAGCGCACGAGCTGCAGAGGGCAAACGCCGATGTTTTTAAATGAGAAATAAATAGATCACCCCAAAGCCTTCGATGTTTCCTGCTGTCGATTGAATTACACAATATATGTGCAAGTCCCTGAGAAATGAATGACAGGGCCTGCTAAACATTGTCCAGCATTGCTTCCGTTCATTTCTGCACACGTATTATCCCAGTGACATTTCGAGCTTTCTACCCCCTCTTCTGTAATTGCTCTATCAGAGCAGAACTGAACCACCTATTCAGATTGTTAGCATGCGTCAATCAAGCTGGCAAACGAAGACGAATCGTTCGTGGTGCTACTTCCAGTAATATAAACCCCACAAATAATGCACGGTATAAATTTAACTACCTGTCTCATTCTACCTGAAAATATGAAATTATCTTGTGTTTCAAATAAGATACACACTCTACACAGCCAAGCAAAATCAAACAACTGGTCTCTTCCGCCGTGTGCCAGCCAAGAAAGGAACACTTTGGTGGGGCAAGGCTGACACCTTGTGGCAAAGAGAAGTAGCAACACTGAAATTCACAGCTAAAGGTTTTCTGATAGTTGCAACTCTTTGTTTCCAGGGCCAGCATTCATTAACATTTATTTTCCAATACTGTATGTATATACCATATAGCTAAGGGATGGGGGAAAAAAGTAAAAGCACAGCCCAAGGGGATTTCTTTAGTAGCTGTACTGATACTCTTTTTGTATCTGATTTGGCAAATATGTATTATTTATTTTATTTTATTTTATTTTATTTTATTTTATTTTATTTTACTGCGGAGATGATTTTTGACCTTTGATTAGTATAAATTGACCTTTGGACCTTTGAGTAGTATAAATTGTTTTGGTAAATAATAATCAAACAAGCAAACAATACTGTTTTCCGGTGTGCAGATGTCCATCAGCAATCAGCCTTATTCAAGTCTGAACAACTTCCCCAGGAATTGTGTGACAAAATGCAAACTAACTGAGAGATTCCTGGTCTTCTAAAACAGTATGATAACATCTTTGTTGAGGAACAATGAACTTATAACGTCTGGAAAAACTAAGGGTGGTATTGAAGTAAGATTTACTCAGAGTAGACATGTTGAAAACTTAATTTCATATATTTATTTGTGTCTGCTCTGAGTGAAACTGAGTGGAATACCACCCTAAGGATGTTAGCAGTAATATTGTATCATGTCTAGATTCTGAACCCTTAGCACTGTCTTCTCTGGGGGGGTCTCACAAAATCCCTCAACTGCTCCATTCTTTTATTTCCAAAGTGCCACTATCCTGGAGTTTCCATTACTTTGAAACCTGCAAATGTCTGAATCTGGAACTATGCCTTTACTGTTCATGAAAACATAACACTGCAGGTTTCCTCTCCAACTTGTGTGAACTGGACTCTCTTTATGGGTTGCCTTGAGGCAATACCTGGCCAGAGCCTTGGACTTGACAAAACGATATGAAAAGCAAGATGTGTTTCCATGGCAGCTAATTGCCATGCAATTTTCCTTACGTCTTTTGAATGAGGAAGGAAGACATGAACGGGGTCAAAAGCAGATCTCTCCTACCCCTTTAGCAAAGGATGTCATAATCCAGAGGTGTTGTGCATGAACAGAACAAAAGACCGCAGTTTGAGTGAGACACAGAAGCACAGGGAGCTCTGTAAGCTAACACCCCCCTCAAAGATCTGATATGGTGGCCAGGAGCTTTGGCTGTCTGTGCTTAAAGTGTGCCTGTACACAGAAGCAGGTGCCATGGGGCCAGAGCTGCTCCCTCCTGACACCATTATTGCAGCTACAGTGGTACCTCGGGTTACATACGCTTCAGGTTACATACGCTTCAGGTTACAAACTCCGCTAACCCAGAAATAGTGCTTCAGGTTAAGAACTTTGCTTCAGGATGAGAACAGAAATTGTGCTCCGGCAGTGCGGCAGCTGCAGGAGGCCCCATTAGCTAAAGTGGTGGTTCAGGTTAAGAACAGTTTCAAGTTAAGAACAGACCTCCAGAACAAATTAAGTACTTAACCCGAGGCACCACTGTACTTCCTTGGATGCATGTGAGGCAAGACGGCAGCAAGGTTGGGGGTGGCGCAGGTCCCCCGGCAGGTGTGTCAGATTAGCTCCACTAGTGAATACACACAGCCCTGAACTCCCTGGTGCTCTGCTCTCACACTGACAGTGACACTGGTGTC